GTGTGCAGAATTATTAGGCAGGTTTTCTTTTACGGATGAAATTAGCCAAAAAAGAGATTTAACTCAGACTGAGAAGTCAAAAATGATTAAATCCCCATGAGAAATATTAAAAACTAATGCAATACAGAAATGTCAAAGTTAAGGCATGACCGTTGGTCAGCAAAATGCTCATTGGATCAGCGGGGTCAGAAAAAAACAGGTGAAGAAGAAAAGACAAACGTTAACTGCAAAAGAATTAAGAATTAATGTGAAGAATTAAGTGTGAAACCATCAGGAACCTTTTAGTCTCCAGTGCCACTATTTTCCAGAACGGCAACCTTCCTGGAGTCTCCAGAAGTACAAGGTGTCAGGTTCTCTGAGATTTTCCTGGGTAAAAAATCCTAAAAAATGACCCTCACTTAATTAGAATGTTAAGTATTGTGAAATACATGAAGACTATTTGTATAGGCTTTATGGATAGAAAGTCCTATTTTTTTTTATTTCTTTTCTTAATATTTTTTTGCAGATTTGCACATGTACAAGGTTTAAAATGTTCATGAAATATTTTCAAAAAATACTGACGTTTTGAGCAGCTGCATGTTTGAGCTGCATTCCTCTAGGTCAAATATGAAAAAATGGGATTTACAATAAAAGTAATTTACAAAATTATTTTGACTTTATTGATTATTAATTGATTATTAATGAGTAACGTCTCTTTTGAGTGAATGTGCAAATTTTTAATGTTAACAGGTTTTACCATGTTATTACAACATTTAACCACTTTTTATTAATTTAAAAATTGAGAAATTCTTTCAAATTTAAATCTTGTACAAGAACTACAGCAAAAATCAGTTTGATGCATGTTTTATCAATATTTTAGAAATTTAATTTGAATATCACCAGTATTGACTTGAATGGATTTCATTAAATTCCTTTGAACACGACTGCTCAAAACGGTCTAAATTTATGAAACCTACACATTCAAAACATTACTCTGAAATGTTTAATGTAAATGTTAAGTGTAAGTGAATGTTAGGTACTGTAAGGTCTTTCATGACACTACATATGCTGGGGTGTGAATTTGATAGGTGCTTGATATAAAATAAATGGTGCTTTAAAAAGTCCTTGAAAGTCCTTGAATCTGGTGTTCATGAAAGAGTGGGAACCCTGTGTTTGTCAAAATTCGTAACACTATTCAAAGTAGTCTGCTGAAGACTGAATGATGAATGTTGTTAAATATATAACGCGGAGACCACATCCATCCATTCATTGTGTTCTGTGTGATATTAAATGACTAGAATCAGATCAGAAAAAGCATTTCTCTTTGTACCTTCTCAAATTCATTCATGAATGGAAACTCAACAGGTGTAAAGTAAAATGTACTGAAAAACACTGCTAATGAAAAGACCAGCCAAAAATATGTATTTAACATTCATAACATAGCATTTAACATTTCAAGATAATACAAAAAATAGTATTAATTGTTTTAATCAACTCATAGCCCTAAAAATGAGTAATAATCTCTGACCTTCTGAGTAAATGTGTGTTAAGTAGGTGCACTAAAGGTTGCATGATAGCTAGCTGACTAGCTGAGATTCACACAGAGCACGAAGCTGGATCTTTTCTGCTTACAGAGATCATGTTAATGGGAACGAATGACAGCATTTCACAATTCCTCCCTCACAGCTTAATGTAGAACTCTAAATCTATATTGTTAATATATAAATCTGTTATCGGCTCTCTTGGTGTATTTATGGACTTGTAGTGTTGGTAAGGGCATTTTGTGTTGATTGTACTGTCTGTACCCTTCACCAGCACAATCTGCAGACTCGAGGTGAAGCGCTGATCTCTAAACTGCAGTTCCAGTATCAGCGGTCGGCCACAGAGAACGCTCTGCTCTCGTCTCAGCTCAGCTCTCCAGAGCTGCTCAAGCTCACAGGACTGCCAGGGCGTCTCATCGTCGCTCTGTTTGAGCACAGCTCGGTGCTGGAGCGGATGACTAGCCCTGCTGGCCTCACCTACCCTGGTAACGACTAGAACTGTACTATACTGTGTCTGTGCTGGAGGGATTGCTTTAATCAATGTGATGTTGCGTTGTTTGCAGTATAGTTTGCACTTCTGTCTTATTACTTGTCTTTTTGTTGTCTTATAAAATCCTAGTCAAAATAATTATTAAATTATCATTAAAAAGCTGTTCGGTTTTTTTTTTCTTTTTGTTTTTTGACCTGCGAATGATCATTTGTCACTTCGACAGGCTGAGCTGAACATTTATTGTCACGGTCTGTCTTCATCCAAAAAAAAAAAAAGTTCATCAAATAATATTTCCACATTCCAATCTTTCCAGATTTCCACAGAAATGTTAAGCTGCAGATAATTTTTTCAGCATTGGTTAATACTGAGTGTTTTTGAGCACTAAAACAGCATGAATTGTGTGACACTGAAGACTGAGTAATGGAAGGCATCTTTCAAATATATTACATGTTAAAATATATTAAAGCTACACTATGCAACCTTTTTTTATATATATTAAAAATAAGTTCGTAATTGTAGTCTTTATCCAAATGCACTTTAAATAAACCTCTTAGAATCATTTATATTTTTAGGGCTGTAGGGATGGATTTAGCTATGTGTATTTAAACCACATTCATCCACACGCAGGAGCAGATCCAAAGCACATCCAAAACAATGTTTCTTTCCACAAGATATATGTATTTATTATTATTATTATTAATTGCATAAGTGTAGCTTTAAAATAGAAAACATATTTTAAATTGTAATAATATTTAATAATATTACGTCTACTGAGACTTCTTTCAATAACATAAAAAAATCGCCAGCCCCGAACTTTCGAACAGTTGAGTGTGCGCGCGTGTGTGTGTGTGTGTGTGTGTGTGTGTGTGTGTATGAGCGTGTGAGTGAGTGTGTGTGTGTGTGTATGAGTGAGTGTGAGCGTGTGCGTGCGTGCGTGAGTGTGTGTGTGTGTGAGCATGTGCGTGAGTGAGTGAGTGTGTGTGTGTGTGTGTGTGTGCGTGAGTGTGTGAGCGTGTGAGTGAGTGAGTGCGGCGCGCGCGCGTGTGTGCGCGTGTGTGTGCGTGAGTGAGTGAGTGAGTGAGTGAGTGAGTGTGGTGTGTGTGTGTGAGCATGTGTGTGCGTGAGTGAGTGAGTGTGTGCGTGTGCGTGCGTGCTTGAGTGTGTGTGTGTGTGTGTGAGCGTGTGAGTGAGTGTGTGTGAGCATGTGAGTGAGTGCGGCGTGTGTGAGTGAGTGAGTGAGTGCGGCGCGTGTGTGTGAGCGTGTGTGTGAGCGTGTGTGTGAGTGAGGGTGAGCATGTGAGTGAGTGCGGCGTGTGTGTGTGAGTGAGTGAGCGCGTGAGTGAGTGAGTGCGGCGAGTGAGTGTGTGTGTGTGTGTGTGTGTGTGTGTGAGCGCGTGAGTGTGTGTGTGAGCGCGTGCGTGAGTGAGTGAGTGTGTGTGAGAGAGAGAGTGAGTGCGTGTGTGAGAGAGTGCGTGTGTTTGTGTGTGTGTGTGTGTGAAGACATTTGTATTTGGACTCAGCTCCCTTTTTCTGTAATTGGACAGACATTCACAGCGTGGCCAAAGATATTGCCTCCATCAATGGTGTCGATCTTTTGAAGATCCGGAACATTCTTCTGGAGAAGTGGTTGTGTCAAACAGGGCAGTCGAATGGCAAGGTAAGTGCCATATGTCACAAAATCACTGCAAAATCTCTTGAGGAACAAACATGTATTTGCTACAGTAGATCTCCTTATTGTTGTCCCGTGTTTACAGAGTAGAGGAACGCTCAAACTGGTTCACACAGTGATAACCTCTTTTTTTTACATTAAAGTACTTTAATATTCATTATACAGAGACGAGATGAAAAGAAAATACCATCTAAACTTTTCTAAAGACAGTCAGTTCCTCCAGAGACACATTCATATAAACTCCCACCACCAACTGTATCGCGATTCGTTTAACATCTCTACCCACTTCAATCCTCACATATTTGTATCAGTGTTCAGCCGGCTCGCGGTGCATCGTTGCACAGTAATAGAAGCTCGTCATCAGAAGAGACGGGGCGGGTTATGAACGCTTCATCTGATCGTGATCGCAGAAGAGAAAACAGACTGAGAGCGCTGGAAGACACTAATGCTCATCAGATCGCATAATGCAGAATAGAAATGATGATTCTGTCTAAAGAAATGTCAAGTGAATATGTATAAAGAGATCAGTATTTCTTCAAATATGCACACTTTTGGACTAAAACTAAATTAAGAACAACAGTTTCTCTCTCTCGTGTATTATATACTCTATATGTCATTATGTGCCAATCACAAAAACCAAACCAAAAGAAGCATTTATCCTGAAACAGACACTTTTCCTACACCTGCTCTGTAAGGTTCAGCATCGACTGTGGGTTAACTTGACAAACGAAGTTTTCTTTTCCAGAGAGACGTGCTCTTCATTCCTCTCACTTCACAATCATAAAAATAATCAGTGGCATCATGCAGATCAGTTTTTGTGTTTATTTTAGTGCAAAGAAGCCGCATCCTAATTGAGAGCCATATTCAGTTCAGCAAATTCGTCAGACTGTGATCACGGCGATCCTCCCGAGTGTAATAGTATCGAGCTTCTGTCGCAGTCAGTGAGTGAGAAAATAGCTGTCTAATAACTTGACAAGCCGGATATAAAATGTGTAGGACAGCTGTTGTGGTGCTTATTTTTATAACCGTAATAATGATAATATTAAAAAAACACCACCCCCCTAAAAAAAAAGTCTGTGAATTATTTGTTAAATAAGCCAGTTCTAACTGTGGTTCTCTCATGGTTACTTGTAACTTTCTAAATCAGTATTCTAACACTATAAATACTCTAGACTGTAAATACTACTAATAAATATAATAAATGTGTGCACTCTAAGATGTATGTAGAGCCTTCCAGTCAACATTAGAGCGCCACCCTCAGGCTGAATGACGCAAGCACACTAGACCTCTGGCAGAAGTGTTGTGCATGAGTTCAGTTATTTCAATGTTTCGCTGATAATCATGAGTTAGTCATATAGCTGACAGTCTGACCCAGGATCTGCCTCACCATAATGTATGTTCAGGAGCCACCACTGGCTTTCTCTCTAATAAATGACTAAACTCAGGACAGAAGAAGAGTGACCGCCTGAGTTTAGCTGCTGTTAGGGGTGGGTGAGATCACTGAAACCTTATTACATCATAGGAGTCATTTTATTTCATAACTATATATATGTATATATATACATATATATATATATATATATATATATATATACAGTATATACAATCTCACAATAATTGTATTTTTGTTGTTTTATTTTATCTTCGTTATTAAAAAAATATATATAAGATGCAATATACAAAAAATAAATAAATACAGCATGTATAAAACAGTGCTTTGAATCTTTTAGGCACACTAGGTCTATTTAACAGTAGCATTCAAAAAAAGAAAACCTGTCAATTTCACTAATTATGGGAGTAACTTCTGCTGAAGTGTAAACGGTCACAAACTCGGTGCAGTGGGTACTATTACACATTCTGTGTTGGCGACAAATTTAAATGGATAATTCACCCAAAATTAAAATTGTTATAATTTATCTTTAGTTCTGTGGAGTTTTTTTTTTTGAAAGCCATTATGTCTGTAGCTTGACCATCCAAAACCCCAGCTTGATTATATCTGTGTACTTATCATGATTGTGCATTCTTAGACGAGACTGATATTCATGCCTCCTTTGTTGTAGGACAATCATCAGGACAGTGTGACTAATATAAATGATGATCCTGATCTCATGAGGTACTAAAGTATTTTGGTATTATACCACATAATATGATGTAACAGTACCAAGTGTCTTTAAGTGGTCCTGTAACATGGTAGATGTCCTGTTGAAGTATTTCTCTCTCTGTTTCTTTTCCCGTTCTTCTCTTTGTGCTGCAGAGTTGTTTACTTGCTGCAGATGCACCCTATGGATATAAGTGCTCGGTTGCTCAGTCCCATCCTGACAGCACAGACATGGGTGAGCAGTGCTTGTGTGTGTGTGTGTGTGTGTGTGTGTATATGTGTGTGTATATATGTAGTATATATATATATACCGTATTGACCCGAATATAAGACGATGTTGTTTTTCTTGGAAATACATCTGAAAAAACGCGGTCGTCTTATATTCAGGGTCTAGACTTTGACATGTCAGTAACACACCCACAACAATAGGTGGCGCCAAATACGCATAAAACGAGTGTTCCATGAAATTCGTAATGTAATGCGTGTTGTACGTTAGCCTGATGGGACCAAACTCCCTTTGTGATTTTAAAACGTAAGACAGTACCCAGATTTGAAGACTACAGTAAGATTTAACTTCTACTCTTAATAAGATTTTGGCAGGCTACTATTAGATGGATAGCCTAAATGTCCTAATTCAGATGGGCTACCTGTTTTTTTTTTGTTTTTTAATGGTATATCAAAAAGTGTTTTTTTTTTGTTTGTTTTTTATGTGATTGTTGGTACATTTTACCAGTTTTTACCATACTTTCAAAACAAAAATTAAAATAGGAAAAATATGAAAATAATTGAAGACAAAATGTGCTTTACTGAGAAAAAACAAGATTTGGTTTTTAAAAAGCCTTTTTTCCAAAAGGTACATCTGGAAAAAGGGGGGTCGTCTTATAATCAGGGTCGTCTTATATTCGGGCCAATACGGTATATACACACACACACACACACACACAGTGGGTCTAAAAAAACTGAGTGTTGGGTAATAGTCAGTTTTAGTACCATTTTAATATGCAATGGATTATCAAAATTAAAACAACACAAAGAACATAACATTTTCAGGAAATGATTATAATTAACATAATTTAAGGAAAAAAAGAAAGTTATTGTTTTCATTGTTTTTGACTCATGTAACTTTGCATTTTAATAAAAGATATGATATAAAGACAAGTAAACAATAATAAATGAACAATTGACCATGATCATGGTTATTAATATTATCACAGGATTGTTAAAATGTGTTGGAAATCATGAATTTTCTCTCGAAAACCAACAAACAACAAATAAAATTAGCAGTTTTTGTTTGCATAAACCTTAAAAGTAATGATGGCCGGATTTTATATAAACACAAAAAAATCTTGGTTGGGTGACTTACAGCATAACATGTTATCTACTAACATGTGCTACATGTTCAAATAAATATTTGACAAAAAAAAGTTTTATGAAATTATAAGTAACTCGTTTTTAAGAAAATAATCAAAATCATAAATTATAAGCTTTTATCTGCTCCATAAACAATATAGGCTACCTTATTGTCCAAAGTGTTGAGATTCTTAGAATACACATTAGCTTGTTTTCCATCTACAGGTTAAGATTTACAACAAAAAATCTATCCGTTTTTTGCATTGGTCTGAACAAAAAGGCAGACAGACTGAAGGAAAATGTCCCTCCACTGTCTGACAGCAGGTGGTGCTGATGGAGCAGCAGAAATAGAGCGGTTTCCCCGGTAACCACTGTTAACAAAGCAGCGCTGCTCTTATGAACGCTACTTTATCACGGAGGGGAGATGAAAAGAAAATGCTATCGAAACTTTTCTGAAGACAGTTAGTTTCCCCTTTCATTCATTCATTTCCTTCAGCAGTCTGCCTTCATTCATGTTTTCACACAAAACGAAACCATCTCTGCAACACGCCTTAATGCTGAGCAGTATTTATTGTGAGCTTTCCACATATTTATAAATTAATCCTTATTAAAGATGAAGCTATTCAGTCAAGATTTGAACAGAGTGATTAATGACACAGACAGCAAACTGCTCTCATTTTCAGACCAAATGTACGGATCTAAAACACACATCAGATTTTCACAGTTTGCATTCATTTAAAACTTTTTATTTTAACTTCGTTAAGACTGCTTACGAGGACACTCGCCCAACAGGTTCAAGCGCGATAAGACGAAAAGTGAGCTCAGTTCTGTAATGGTGAGCTGTCAGAGAAGCGGCTGTGTGCGCGCACAGAAAACCGCTCGAGTACCGAATTTAGTTCTGTTTCGCCATTTCTTGCGCTTGAACGGTTTAAAATCTTTTGAATGCTTAAATTGGCAAAACTTAAAAACACATGCATATGATAAACTTTCGTGACGAGTCAAAAGTAAGCATTAAGCTGAAGGGGGAAATTTTTAAAAAGTGGGAGGGGCATTTTGCCGCTGCTACTAACATCACACATCTAGACTTTGCAGTATTTGCTCACTCTTCTTTGCAGAACTGCTCCAGTTCAGTCTGATGGGGAGTGTTTGTGGACTGCAGTCTTCAGGTCATTGCGCAGATGTTCAGTGGGGTTTCAGTCTGGACTCTGACGAGGCCATGCAAGGACATTCAGCTTTTCCTCATTCAACCACTGTGTGCTCAGTTCTGCTGTGTGCTTTGGGTCTTTGTCATGTTGGAAGGAAAACCTTCTTTCTGGCAGAGGGCAGCAGATTTTGCCCAGTTTGACAGTATTTTGCCCGTCCATGTTTCCTTCTGTCCTGACTCGTGCTCCAGTCCCTGCTGCAGAGAAACACTCCAGAACAGACATCACCAGCTCCATGCTTTACTGCAGGAATGCTGTTATCTGGATGCTGAGCTGGATTGGGTTTCCTCCAGACATATCGTTTGGTGTTGAGGCCAAATAATTCAGTTTTAGTCTCATCTGCCTCAGAATCTTCCAGGTGTTTTGGCAAAGCTCAGTCTGACTGCATGTGGTCTTTCTTGAGAAGCGGCTTTTTTCCATTCAAGCCACATTAGTGGAGAATCTGTGATATTGTTGTCACACAGTGAGCACTCTTTGTCATAAACTCCTGCAGTTGCTTCAGAGTTGCTGTGGCTCTCGGTCGCCTCTCTGATCAGTTTCCTCCGGCTCTTTCATCAGTTTGGAGTGACCTCCCGATCCAGGGAGGCTCTGTGTTTTACCAAACACCTTCCACTTCTTAATAACAGACTTCACTGTGCTTCTAGACATTGACAAAGTCTCTTTAAGACAAGTCATGTCACCTGGCGGCCATCTTTGAAATGGCTCTCGGGCATGCAAGTGCAGCTCCTATCTCTTTGAATGGGGAAACATCAAATTCTCCAAAACTGTGCACTAAGCTTACGATTAAATTTTATATTTGAAATTACCGAAGAAATCCGACAACAACTGTGTCATAAATGTTGTTTCTTTTGCTCAAATAGTGTTATAAAAAGCTTATTTTTCAGGCTAGATCAGGCAGTGCGCATGCGCAGTCCTAAGCGCACGTCTCAAAGCGCTGACTGTTTCTATAGCAACCGGGACTTCTAACGGCAGCTGCAGTGATGAAAGGAATTTACCGATTAGCGATTGGCTCTTTCATTCAGAAGGCGGGGCTTCCTGCTATTGAGTGGCCATATTGAGCGTTGCATTTTTCCTCATTCAGAACTATACGAGTGACATGTCTTAGAGACAAGTCTTTGGCATTGATGAAGCCTTTGAAATGGTTTTGTCTCCATCTCCTGACTTGTGCCTGTCTACAGCTTTATCCCGGAGATCTTTTAACAGTGCCTTGCCACCCATAGTTGATTGTTTGCTTCAGTTGCTCTATCAAGGACTGAAATGCTCCAGGAAAGCTCTTTTCATGCTGAGCTGATCAAAATGAGCACAGGTGAAAGTCAATGGGTTAGTGTGCCATTGAGAAGGTTATTAATTACACCTGATTGAGTTTACAAGTCACTTTTAGGAGGAGCTGATCCTTTTTCCAACTCAGTGATTGTTTTTTTTTGTGTTTTTTTTGTTGGTGTTTTATCTTTCACTTGGATGTTGCAATGATATGAATTTAGTATATATATATACACACACACACACACACACACTTTTTTCTTTTCCATAAAATTTGGCACATTTACTCGGATTTGTATGCAAGACCAAACCTGCATAAGTAAACAAACAAACAAACAAATAAATACATTTAAATATGTATATTATAAAATAAATATGTATGTTTAGTGTTCTGTGTGAAGTGGCACTAAAATCCTATCTAGAGCAGACGTAAGCAGTGTGTCATGTCGAAAGTAAACCGAACCCATTTTAATCTGTCTACACTACACTCTCACGTTGCACCAAGCTGACATTAGACCGATTCCTCATTCTGTGTCTGATATATTTGCACTACATCCGGCAACAGAACAAATGGATGAGGAACGTCCAGTGAAAACAACTCGAGCTGAAATGACAGACGGGGTGTAATGCTTGCAGTGGTACATCAACAAATATCAGACAAAGAGGACAGGAGGCAGATATTTAATACACCACTGATTTAAAAAACCATGTTACTTAACCATTGCTGAATCTAACTAAAACTAAACTGAAACACAAAAAAACAAACTACTGAGCCCAGCAATTAACATCTGTTGATCTGTTCAGCCCCTGGGAGGATCAGGCCTTCGTTTGACCTTCGAACACCGCAGTCGAGCTCTGCTCTGTCTCACTCACTTAGCAGATGCTGCCACCTTGGAGACACTTTCCAACCAGCCTAGCAGCAAAATCCAGTGAGCTGCATCAACAATATTCTATTCATTTCAACTCTTATTTGTGTTCAGAATAGAACTGTCCAGTGTTAACGCAAACACATTTTTGGCATTTGTTTTAATCATGAATGAATCTGCAGCATTAATGACCATGTACTAATGTTTTCACAGATATTATTTGAAGTGCTACATGTACCTTGCCCAGATGGAGGCCCTGAACATTCCCTATACCTTGGAAATGTTCATCAGCAGCCCCAAGGAAGGCATGATCAAGGGTTTATGGAAGAACCACAACAATGAACCTCAGGTAGATATTGCAACTAATATTGAACTAGGGCTGCACAGTATATCGAAATAAAATCGATATTGCGAAATGACTTAGTGCAATTGTAAATTTGCGGAGGCTGTGACGTTTCAGAGTGAAGCGTGACATTTACATGCGTGTAGATCATGAATGATTCATCAGCGTCTGAGAACACTTGGTTCATTTACTGTGACTCGAGCTCTTCTGGGATCACGGCAGGACTGGCCTCTGACGCTCAGGACAGTGCTGCAGCATCACGAAATCTTAGCAGTTGCATGTGTCTTGCGATTTTAAACATTCAAGTGATTTTAAACCATTCAAGTGAAAGAGAACTTTATTTGGTGTTTGCGTGCTGTTTTCTGTGCCCGCACATTTAAAACACAGAGAGCCGTGTCTCTGACAGCACACAAATGGAGTTCTCTTTTGCAGCATCTTACCCTTGAACGGACAAATACACACAAAGTATGTCAAAATGCCTGTCTTGTCTAGTATCACATCACATCAGTTATGCCTTAAGTGATTGTAAACAGTTGAGAAAGAAATCAGAAGAGTATCAGCACACTGGATCTCTGCATTAGGTCTTAAAGTGACAGCGGTCTATACTGTACTGGCTCCTGTCAGTGTTATCAATGTTACTCAAACTAGAAAAGAGAAAATCTCTCACTGTTCAGTGATCTTACCACAAGGGTCTAATTTTATCGTCTTGCTTCAAAATAAAAATTATACATTTCACTCCACAAATCCAAAAACATTGTGTCCACAGATCCTTTGTTAACAAATAGACAAAAAACTTTAATGACCCACCCACCTTAATTTTTTCTCTTGACCATAGATAGCACAAACTGTACCCTACATAATGCTTCATTAGTTCATATATATATAATATACTAATAATCAAGGACCTTTGCTGCTGTATCATGGGTGCAGCAAGGATATTACACAGCGCCTGAAAATGCTCCCCAGCTAGGCGCTGCGTAATATCCCCAGCAACTATTTTCAGGAGCTGCGTAATATTATTGTTATTAATAATAATGATGAAATTATATTAATAATGAGAAATTGCTTTTATGATGTGCACAAGTGACTAGATGATGATGTATACTAACCTGCAAAAATAACCCATTCTATATTTCCATTACATTGTGTCATCACAGTGCCACCTCTCTTTTATCGCCTGCTTATCCCACGTACGGATGGAGCAGGACAAACACTGTCCTCACAGACCAAAAGCTGCTATAAAGGGTTATTCATATAGGACACATTTTTTCTCTGTTTTAGTTGCTGGTTTATGTACACATTAGGCCAGAAACTTTTCTTTCATAGCTAATTTTATTCACAATAATGTGAATACTAGATAATACTAGTATTATCTAGTGTATGTAATGTATACATACACTAGTCTACTAGTGTATGTATATAAATATATATATAATGAATCACTGTCCAAATGTTGACGTTCTTAAAAAGCTCTCACAGCCATCGAGATTGTAATGAATGAATACCAGGAGTATCAAAAGCTGCACTGAGATCTAATAATAATCAAAGCAACACGATTTCCAAAATCAGCCCCAAGAGATCATTTGCAACCTTAAGAACGGTCTCAGTACAAGTGTACAGTACAGCTCTCAAACCCGATTGAAAGCCGTCAAAGATGGGCTGAAAATTGATCAGGTCCAGAGGGTTTAAGTGTTTTTTTATAAGGGGCTGGACAACTGCATGCTTAAAACTAGTCAGACTTGACACGGTGACACGAACCCCATGCAATGAATGTTGATTGTCTTTAGCGTGTAAGGATTTATGAACTTTTCCACATCTTTTGACATATACACTGGTCAGCCACAACATTAAAACCACCTGACTAATATCATGTTCCCTTGTGCTGCTAAAACAGCTCTGATGCGTCAGACCTCTGAACGTGTCCCGTGTGTCTGACACAAAGACATTAGCTGCTATGCTGCCTATCTCTTCCCCAGGTAAACAACACACATACGTCTGGCCATACACCTGATCTGAAAGAAACTGATCAGAGCAGGCAGCCTGGTCATCATGGGCTCTCTGACCGCTCTGCGACTGCAGCCCTATACTCGGCAAACTGTGAAGCACTGCATGTCTATCATGTTCAGCATTAGGTTTTTCAGATATGTGAGCTACAGTAGTTCATCTGTGTGTTTGGACCAGTCAGGCTAGCCTTCGCTCTTCCTCACAGCACTCTTGGCCGGCACTAACCGCTGCAGACCGGGAACACCCCACATGCTCTGACCCAGTCGTCTAGCCTTCACTATTTGGTCCTTGTCAAGGTCACTCAGAGCTTTTCTCTTGCCCATGTTTCCTGCTTCCAACACAAGAAACTCAAACTCAAGACTGTTCACTTGCTCCAAATCTATCCCAGCCCTCAATCGATGTGATCTACTGGACCTGTCAGTGGTTTTCATGCCGTGGCTGATCAGTGTAAGAGGTCACTGTACTATAAAAACTTCACAGCTCAAAACTTCCTTGTTAGTCCGAAAACAGCTTTTATTGAAACCAAAGCTTCCAAAACAACTCGTTTTGTCTTTCCTGCTGTTTATTACTTAATGACGATAAAAACTGACCGCACAGAGACGGATCAACACCTGCTTCATCACATCGTTGGCCGTCCTCTGGTGCGTTAGTGAGCTGATATGGACAGAAAAAAATGTTTACCTTCAAAAGGATTGTAATTGGTGGAAAGTTGCGGTTTTATTTTTGCGTCAATGTGCCAGCGGGGCATTATATGTTTCAGTACAATTCACTGTGAATCCTTTGGAAAAACAGTCACGATTCGACGCAGGCTTTACACACAGACTTTTACAGAAAGATATGGACCCGGCAGGAATGCCACAAACTGTTAATTCTGTTGCTCAATCTGTGATCAGTGATTTCACATCGTTTCTCTTACTAGCATGGAAATAATATGTTATTTAAACTGTGATGATATAGAGAAAGCGAGCTCCTTTATATTCACTGGATCTGTCAGTCAGTTCAGTTCAGAGTTCTGCTCTCAGCAAACCACAAGATGTAATCAATGACACGGTCTACACTGAACAGTCAATCATTAGGAATCATTGCTTGATGTTTGCTTTGTGTTCGTTGTTGAAAGCATTTGTGGAAGCGCAGAAATCAAGATTACAATCGTGTGCTCAACAGGCAAGACTGATCGGCTGAATAAATATAATACTATAATCAACACTTATTACGATCAGTTCATCGTGGCATCTGTAATAGCAAGAAAACGAAACATTAAAAGTTTCAAAAGAGTTCTAGATGTAATTCTTGTTTCATATGCAAAGATGTTTGCAACACAGGACACTTAGTGCAACACACATACTGGTAATGTGTAGCCTGAATGCACTGTAAGTCGCTTTGGATAAAAGCGTCTGCTAAATGCATAAATTATTATTATTAATCATTATTATTATTATTATGTTTCCCAGTCATAGCAGTGGGCATTTGCATTGAAGTCCTTTTAAACAAAGTATTTAACTCAGAGGGCTAAAATTATGGTCAAAAATGGTCTTTTATTTCTAAATCTACTAACATTATAAGTGCCCCTCAGGAAGCATGCAGCTGATGGCCGGTTACAGCATCACTGGATTGTGCTCCTCCACGTGTAGTGTGTGACACTTGGATCAATTTAACACATTTGACAAGATTGTTATTTTATTTAATATGTATTTATTTATCCCTCCCTGCAGGGGCAAAGTCTTTCCCGGATATGGCGGAGTGTGATTCAAGCCCCTTTCTTGACAGGTAAAAAGAAACATACTCAGACATGTTTTTCTGTGAAGTTGCATATAAATTTGTATTAAATGCTTTTAACTGTTTGTCTGTTTGATGATTTCACAGCCTCTCTGCCTCTCAGCCCTCGACAGCATGATGTGATGTACAACACATTTGTCCTGCTTCTAAAGTAAGTCTCCAATCCAGGAGAAAGCATGGGAAGAGGGCGGGGCTCTTGTTTTACAATTCATATTTATCATCTATACAATACCAAGCAAAATATTTATTAATTATGATTTGTATGTAATTGTGAAGTCCTAATAATACTACATATTTTAATGCTACACCACTGTACTCTCCCATAATACACAATTCAAACCACTGTCATCAGCTCTTGAGCAAAGAGCTCCATGAATCCAATGAAAACTTGGGGGAAAAAATGTCAGTTATTTAATTTAATAAATATAAATATGTAATTCATGTTGATGTGATGAGTTTTTGAAATTGAGGGAGTGCCATGCATGTCTGTAATGAGAATCATTTAATCATTAACTCTCTGTAAACTCCTTCAGCTTATGGCACACCTGAGCGTTTAGAGGAATTACGTTCAAAACTGGGATAAATAACTAACAATATAGACTTGTGTCAGCACAATAATTAAGCAAAAAAATTATAGTTTTATGTTTCTACTATTTTAGTTTGAATTCAACAGTAGGGAACACCCAGGTTAATTCTGGGTCTTGTGTTAATGTAAAGTGTGTCAAATGTTATTTTTATAAGGTTTGAATGTGCTTGAATTTTGAATATGTACTCGGAGATGTCCATGTCTGTTTACTATATATATACAGTATATATATAATTTATTTTTTATTTATTTATTTATTGTAGATGTCCATTTGTATTGACGTTGGATCTGGTTGGCATCGCCAGGCGGTTTGCTCAGTTCAGCCTGCAGGCCTTCTCTCTGGGCACACTCTTGCTCATACCTTGTGCCAGAAAGAAGGACACACAGATTCAAGTAGGTTCTCATTCACTGTAGACGGGGATGATCTAAACACATTTATTCACTGCCTATGCTCTTAACATTTTAAAGATTGAATATAATCCAGTTATTAGTGTTTATTAATAGTGATTTGTGATTTTAATTTTGTACATTTCTGAAGTCAGTATTTATAACCTATGTAACCTGCAAGCTAACTGAGTGATATCATTCAATTCTATTATTGCTATTTTGACAATTCCCCAAATACGTATTTCACTGAATTATTTTAGTGTAGTGATGAATCTCTTTGAGTGGGGTTTGATTTGTCTGTCATTATTCAGTTATTAGTGGTTTTTATCTTGAATGTATGCAGGTTCTCCTATTTACTGATTTGTGATCTGCATATTTTGAGTTTGATTTTCAGTTTGTACATAAACAAGACTGTGTGTGTCTTATACATCAGAGCTTCCTGTTATCCTGCAACCCTTCCCTCATTCTGGATCAGGTGGAGGAACGCATGAGCACCGGAGAGTTAGCAGGCATTCCTTCACAGGTCTTGCTTTGTGCAAACAAATCTGTTCTCAGTGCTGGTTTACCTTTGATTCATTTAAAATGCTTTGCCTTGTTATTTACTGTAGATTAGAGACACTGTGTTCACCTTTCTTTGTGGAAATGGCAAGTCGCAGATGTTGATGAAGACCAAACACTTCACTTATCTGAAGAAGCACTTGATCTCAAAGGCTCATTCTGAAATAGTGCAGGAGCTGCTGAACTGCCTTGTGGGACAAAATGGGTTCGTTGATCCTTGATGAAATTTCATAAATTATTATTATTTATAAGATGTGAAGGAAATTCAAAGTTCATCAGTTTTATGTTATTTATTTATTTATTTTTTTTATTAAGAGTGCAAAACATACAACATACAGTGAACACAAAACACAAAAAAAAGCAATAGAACAGCAATGATAATAACGGCAATGAAAATAAACAGTGATGACCATCTGACAATAAAAGTAGTAGTATTCAAGTAGTACTAACATGCATAATAATAATAATAATAATAATAGTAATAATAATAATAATAAAGATGATGATGATAATAATACCTTGTGATGACGGCAACAGTAATATCAATAATAATAAAAGTAATGATAATAATAATAATGTAATAATAATCGCTATAATAATAATGTAATAATGACCCATACCCAACATATACCACACCTATTCTAGCTTCTGTGTCAAGGTATTTATTTATTTATTTTATTATTATTATTATTTTTTTTTTTTTAATTCACGGTAAGATTAC